CTCTGGCTCCTGCCACTGGGCCCTCCAACTCTTTCTTCTACCCTGCAAGGAGGCCATTTGTGAAGTAAGAATGAAAACAGAACAGACCTGTCCAGAGCCTCTGTTCTAAGGTTTTGACTGACACCTGGCTCCTGGCTCTCCTGTCATCTGTTGGACTGGTCCCTTGTTCTGTGTCTAGTTTTTAGTTCCTGAGGAAGGGTTACCCTCACATACCTGGCCCATTCTGACCCACCCCATGGCTCATGTCTGCAGTGTGCTGGGGGGCATTTGCTTTTGGTCACTGATTCCTGCTGCCCTAATGAGCTGCATTCACTCCCCATCCAAGCATGTCACATGTTTCTTCTTCCTTCGGGCTCTCCCAGGATAGCCTCACGTCTGGTCCATTCCCAGAGCCGGGTAAGCACTAGCCAACTCCTCTTTGGGCATGACCTTGTGTCTCTTGGTGCATTCTTCCCCACACAGGATCCTCTGTGAGCTCTGATGCCTCAGCCAATGTCTTAACTTTGCCATAATCCCTGGCTCAGGGCTGCCAGGAGCAGCTGGTTGGATTTATGGTGACACAGATGAGAATAACTGGGGCTATTTGTACTCTTCAATGAAGGGGGTGCAGAAGTGACCTGAGTCTCCAGTACTCCCTGGGGGAGTCAGTGTGACAGGGGCTGGCCTGTGAGTTGGAAGGGACAGCTCATGTTAGCCAGGGACAGGCTTAGACAGGACTGTAATAATAGTAATAACCATGATAGAATCAGGAGGATATGACATGGTAAATGACAATAATATACTTGGCATCATTGTCATGCAAATAGCCAATAGTGACTGAGTTCAGCCCTCACACCAGGGGGCTCAATGCTAACCCATCTGTCCTCATCAGCCCGGAGATCCAGGTAGCTCCATGACCCCATTTTTGATAGCAGAAGCCAAGTGAAGCTTGATGGTCAGGTATCTCCAACCTTACCATATAGCTGATGTCAGAGCTGAGCAGAACACTAAGACTTTAGTCACTGTGGTGACACCTGTCATATGTTCAGGGAATCATCAAAGTGAAGACAGAGAACACTGAGAGGTTAGGCATCCAGGAAGCAGGATGGGTCTGTCTGGTACCCTCCCTACATGGCAGGCAGGGACTCTGAGAGCTGGGTGTGGTGGAGGCAGGAGGATCACAAGTTCAAGTTCATCCTAGGCTACATAGTGACTTTGAAATCTGCTGGGGCTACATGAGAACTTGTCTCCAAAAACCAAACCACAGGGAGTCCCAGGGTCTCTATGGCAGCCCCACTGAGCAGCGAAAGACCAAGGAGGGGATCAGGAAAAGATAGTCCTGAGGCAAGAGTTACTTACCACGTTCTTGTACAACAAGTAGACCAGTGTGGTTGGAGTGGAGAGAAAAGGGAGAGGACAGAAAGTTGTATATATACATGCATGTTCATACATGTGCACATACCCATGTGCACATAATTAACATGACCGTCAAAAACAGAACCAAAATTGTACTTGCTATGGGCTAGTGAGATGGCTCAGCTGGTGCACCAGTAGAGGCATTTGCTGCCAAGCCTAATGGCCTGAGTTTGAGTCCTGGGACCCACACGTGGCTTAAGGAGAAAACCAACTCACACATGTTGTCCTTTGACTCCCACAAGAGCACCCTCACACTTGAACATCTACATACACACACGTATGCAAATAAATGATTTAAAAATTGTGCCTAATCTTATTTTGTTAATATAAAGCTATAAAATATCCCAAATTATTAACCCAATACCGAGTAGATTATATTTGTTATTGTACCACCAAATGTGGTTTTCTTTTTTTTCTTCTTTCTTTTTCTTTCTTTCTTTTTTTTGTTTTTTTGTTTTTTTGTTTTTTTTGAGACAGGGTGTTTCTGTATAGTCCTAGCTCTCCTGTAACCCACTCTGTAGACCAGGCTAGCCTCAAGCTCATAGAGAGCTGCCTGCCTCTGCCTCCCCAGTGGTTGGATTAAGGGTGTGCACCACTACTGCCTGTCTCCAAATGGGGTTTTATGAACATAATTGTATAATAATTTTTAGATATCTGAAATTATATATTTTTAAATATTATGATTTATAATAATTATACATTTTTAGAGTTTTGGATATGATTTTCTTTCTTTCTTTTTTTATTTTTTGCTTTTTCAAGACAGGGTTTCTCTGTATAACAGCTCTGGCTGTCTTGGAATTCACTTTATAGACCAGGTTGGCTTCGAACTCACAGAGCTCCACCTGCCTGTGCCTTCTGAGTGCTGGGATTAAAGGTGTGTGTCATCACTGCCAGGTTATGATATCTGATTTCTTAAAAGAATATTATTATTAGTGTGTGTGTGTGTGTGTGTGTGTGTGTGTGTGTGTCTGTATGTGTGTGTGTTGTACCTGTGGAGGTCAGAAGACAACTTTTCAGAGTTGGGCCTCTTCTCCTTCCTTTATGTGGGTTCTGATATGTAACGGAAGTTGTCAGGCTACCATCATTGGGCTGCAAGTGCCTTTACCTATTCCCAAGTCATCTTTCTGGCCCCACTGTTATTTTCTTTCAAAAAAGGCGATTTTTCTGTGTATGTGAGTGTGTGTGCCTATGTCTGTGTCATTGGAAGCCAGAAGGAGGCATTGGGCTTCCTGGAGCTGGAGTCCAGGTGGTTGTGAATCCCTGGGTGTGAGTGCTGGGAATTGAAGTCAGGCCCTCTGTAAGTATCCTTAACTGCCAAGCCATCATCTCTCTAACTCCTTTTTTCCTTCCTTCCTTCTTTCCTTCCTTTTGAGACACGATCTTGCTCTGTAGCTCAGGCTGACTTCAAATCTGTAGTTCTCCTGCCTCAGCTTCCCAAGTGCTGTGATGACAGGTATGAGTCGTCACATCTGGCAGGAGAGCTGGTCTCCCATCTACATGTATGCTGAGTGTCATGCCTGGGGCCACCATGGGGAGGAATCAGATCTTCTGGGTAGGAGAGACTATTGGGGCCCATCTGTTCATCTGCTGGCCCCTCCACCCTGCTCTCTGCTTTGTCCTTCTCCCCACCACTCATGTCCTCAGTGGTCTCAGGCAGGCTTCACAATCCATATTTCAAGTTGGAGCTCTTAGATAACTGATGTTGTGTTGGGGGCAAAACCTGCCCCAGAAATTCCTAACTAGTAGAGATTTGCTCCTCAGGGAACATACAGTAATGTTTGGAGACACTTTGAGGTGTCATAAGTCTAGGGACCACTGTCCTTCAGTGGGATGCTGCTGAGCCCCTCAGTGTTTGGGAAGGATGTCGTGGTGGCATTGACCTTCACTGTGTTAGTTACACTGAGATTGAGAAATGTTTGAGGCCCTGTAGCCAGCCTTAGGGAATACTGCTTTTCTTTCCATTGTACAGAGGAGGGAAGTAAGGTGCAGAGATGTTGAGTGATGTGACTCACAGGAGTGAAATTCTGCTCTCAGCTATGTAGCATGCCACAGGAGGACCCTCAGAGTCAGGGTTAGGAGGAAGACTTGTTTTTGGTTCCACTGGACCTGTTTTCTCTCTGCCTACCAGGTCCCCACAGCCACTTATAAGATAACCACTCAGAGACTTAATATATATTTATCATTGTTTGGCTAATGGCTTTGGCTTATTACTGGCTAGCTCTTTCTCTTATAAATTAACTCATTTCTATTAGTTTATATTTTAGCATGAGGCTCGTGACACGTTACCTCACATCTTGCCTCCCTGACCCTGTCTTCCTTCTCTCTGTATCTTTGTTTGGATCCCCTGCCTAGCTAAATTTTGCCTGTCCGTTGGCCAAAACAGCTTTATGCATCAACTAATAAAAGCAACACACATTTGAAGCCTAGAGAAGGGCATCCCACCTCAGTCGGGAATGCTCGCAGTGTACTGTTAGACAGAAACCCAGTCCTTCAGTATTAGACAAAAGCTGCAGATTCCCAGCCTGGGCCAGTCAGGCCCTGACAGTAAAGGCCACAGTCTGCTGAGGTATTTGGGATCCAGAACTGGTGGGGATTACACACCATACAGAATAAGCCGGTGCTGGCCATGCAAGACCAGTGTGAGGAAAGCAAGAGGCCGAGAGAGGGAGGAGCCTGCAGAGGGCTTAGGGAGGCCTCTGAGTTGAGCTGTGAAGAATGAGGAAGGGGACTGAGAACACACCAGGGGAGGAGCAGGAAGCCAGGCCCTGCTGGAGACCTTTGTATGGGGTACCCACACCTTGCTCCAGCCAGACCTGCCCAAGCACCTGGGTCTTCTACCTGCCTTACAGCCACAGTGTCCCCAAGAAGCTGTTTCACACCGCCATTCATATGGGATAAAGAGCCTGCTTGCTCACACTGTCCCCTACACGGAGGGCACCGGCATGCAAGCAAACAGAAACAGGCGTCTTCATGTGTGTATTTAAAAGGACTTCGAACTCAGCCAGCCATGGTGGAGCACGCCTTTAACCCCAGCACTTGGAAGACAGAGGCAGGCAGATCTCTCTGAGTTCCAGGCTAGCTTGGTCTACACAGTGAGATATTGTCTCGACAGACTGTGAGGAGAGACTGTCAAGTAACTTCTCCACTGTTCTCTGCTCAGAGACCTGTCCCAGTCCCCAAGATGCTTTGGGAACGTAGTAGGACCCTTTGGTTTGAGCAGCATTAGCCTAGTCTCCAGAACTGCTAACCAGCCTCCAGACCCCATCCTTTGAGGCTCAATAGCCCTCTAACCCCTCCTCTCTTCCAGGAGATCCACTGGCTCCTAGAGCCCCAGGCCCCTCCCCCGAGGTGGAGGAGGACTCCGGAGAAGCCTTTGAGTTTGATGACAGTGATGATGAAGAGGGCACAGACCTGGTTGTTTCTGGCCTTGTCCCCGAGAAGGAGGCAGAGCCCCCACTGATCAGCTTTGACACTGTCCCTGGCCCAGGTGAGGTGTCTCTGGGAGTGTCCGCCAGGCATGTGAACTGGTGGGGAACCTCAGGCTCCTAGGGTCCACAGTGAGCAGGAAAGGGAGCCACTGGGAAGAGGCTGTGTCCGGGTTCTCTTGGGAAAGGAGATTCCTAGCATTCCTGCAACATCTGGCTTGCACTCTGGCGGGGCCTAAATGGAATGGCTTGGCCCAAGTTTCCGCTGGGGACACAAGCCCTGAGCTCTTGTAGCCTTCTTTCTAGTCACAGCTCCAAAGAACCCATCTGTTTGCTTGGGGAGCCAGCACCCCGGGGGGTGGGAGGGCCCCAGTCATGTTGTGGGTAAATGGCAGCTGCTGGGTGCTGAGATCTGTCATCTGGGAGACACTGGGGACTGGATCAGCAGGAACTTCCTGAGCTGGGGTTGGTGACTGGGGTTGGGTTGTGGGGGCGGTGTGGGGCAGGCAGGACAGGTAGGGAGCTTACTCAATGGGGGGGGGCATCTAGGGAAAGGCAGGGAATCCTACCAACATCCTGGTTCCCTGTGGGGTGGGGCGGAGGAAGAAGGAGGCGGGAATAGGCTCAGCTCTTGGGACCAGCCTCCGTCTGACAGGCTGTCTCCCTTTGCTCTTCCCACAGACCTGGACCCAGCCGCTGTACTGCCCCAGACAGAGTAAGTGAACTTGCAACTCGTCATTGCTTTGCCCATTGGGAAAAGAGTGGAGCAGAGCAGGGGCACGGGGCAGGGTGGAGCAGTGGCTAGAGAATGCCGTAGTTCATTAAGACCCTTCGCCTGGACCAGGTCAGTGCTGACGCTCTGGTGGCCCCTTTTTCTTTCTTTTGATTGGGAGCCTGTTGCATAGCAGGAAGCAGGCCTGGTCCCAGTCCCACACCAAGGCCTCTCACTACCCAAGTGGTCTCGGTGGACTCTGCCTGCATCTTTGTGTTCAAAGCTCTGGCACTCCCCAGAGCTGTCTGTGTGAACTCAGCTGTGTGTGACTACCTCTGCCAATACCAATCCATTTCTTCCTTTTTAAAATTAAGTTTTTAAAATATTTAGTGTGTGTGTGTGTGTGTGTGTGTGTGTGTGTGTGTGTGTGTGTGTGTGTGTGCTCTCGAGTGTGCGTGCACATGCATGCGCATATGCATACATGTGCATCTGCCATGGTTACATAGTTACCAGAGGACACCGAATGGGAGTCTGGGAGTCGGGAGTCTGGGAGTCGGTTCTCTCCTTCTGCCATTTAGGTCCTGGGGAATTAACTGAACTCGGGTCATCAGGCTTGGCAGCAAAGACCCTCACTTGCTGAGCCATCTTGCCACCCAGTTTTTATTTTATTTTATTTTTGTGGGAGGGGCAGATAAGTTTTCACATAGCCCAGGGTGGCTTTGAACTTACTGTGTAGCAAAGGTGACCACGAACTTCTGATTCTCTTGTCTGTAGTGAAATTATAGGCTGTGTGCATGCCAGACAAACATGCTGCCATCTGAGTTACATCCTTAGCCCATATTTTAAAATAATTTTTTATTTGTTTGAGACAGCATCCTGTTCCAATTATACTAATGGCAATCCTCCTGCCTCAGCCTCCCAAGTGCTAGCTAGCGTTATAAGTGTGAGCCACCACACCTGATTACATTTCCCCTTTGTGGCTGTTGTTGGGGACTCTCTGCAGTTGTGCCTGGGACCTCCCTGGAAGCAGGACAACCTAGTGGCTAAGGGTTGGAATGCTGGGGCCTAGTTTTAGACCACCCAAGCACTAACTTTGTGGCCATATGGAAGCCAAAATTCCTCTGGACTCTAGTTTCCTCCCGTATAAACTGGACCACTGATTTTTTTCCTGCTGTGCCTCACTCAGCTCACAGTGGTACTTAATCAGGGTGGCTACTTATTTTTTTATTATATTTATGTAATGTGTATATGTATTTGCGTGCAGGTGTTTGTATGTCATGGCACACAAATGGAAGTTAGAGGACATTTGCAGGGATGGGTTTTCTCCTTCAACCATGTGAGTTGTGGGGATCGAACTCAGATCCTCTGGCTTGCCTGAAAGTGCCTTAACCCACTGAGTCACTTTGACATCATAGTTGCTCTATGCTCAGGGTAACAGAATATACTCTCTCTCTCTCTCTCTCTCTCTCTCTCTCTCTCTCTCTCTCTCTCTCTCTCTCTCTCTCTGTGCAATTGGAATTGCAATTGGAAGGATAATTGACAGTTAAGGGCATCCTGGCTCTCCTGATGTGAGGAGGGCAGAGGAACCCTTTGTCTCCCTCGGTGAATTGAAGGCTAATTCTCAGGCAGATGACCCCAGATCTCCAGGGTGGATGCCCTTGCAGGGGAGGAAAGGCCTCATTCACATTTATAGCTTATGTTGAGTGGGTGGACCTGTAGGGTTTCTGCCTGGCTTGGAGTGGGTGAGCAAGCCTTGTATGTGGGTACCTCTCCTCTGTGATTAGCTTCGACTGGATCAGCATAGTTCCCAGTATTGCCTGGGGGGTCTGCTCTGCTTAGAATCCCCAAGATACACTAGGGTACAAAGCTGCAGAGATCTTCAGTCAAGGGTCTTGGGCACAGGATGAAATAGAGTAGGGATGCATGTCCAGGGGTCTGGGGAGTGATGGGAAGGGCTTGCCTTGCTGAGCATGAGTGTAAATTCATATAGGGCTGGGCAAGGTGGGGCAAATGTGTAGATTGAGAAGCCCCCAGGCAGATGGATGGGGCTCTCCTGGAGCATTTTGGGCTGTATTATGGATACCTCTCCTTGGTGTCTGGCTCTTTACTCCATCTCCTTCTCAGGGCCTGCACTCAGGGCTGGGACTATGGTAGCAGCATTCTTTTGGCTCTTTCTGGTGTGTCTTCTCTCTACCCCCTGATCAGTGTGCCTGCTGTGTCGTGGGTACACGACTTCTTAGCTCAGACTCAATGATCCTAGCCTAGTCATGTGTCAGGGCAGCGCTGGACATCATGCTGAAGCTAAGTGACCTAGTGACCCCATGAGCTGGCTGTGTGCTCTAGTATTTCTAGCTCTTGGCTGGGCTGGTCAGGATGTGGTCCATAGCATAGACATGAGAGGCCAGACTCCTCACTCCCAGTCATCATCCTGTCCCGCCCCTCTGCTACCTGTCCCAAGCTCGCCTAGGGGACAGTTGCTCTGTTGCCTTGAATATCTTCTCTTGGTGGCACTGGATCCAGTTCTAAAGCTCAGCTATCCAGTAGCCGTGTGAATTTGAGTTGTCTGAGAACCTCTCTGAGGGCAAGTTTCCCCATCAGTTCAGTGGAATGATGGTAACTCCCCAGCAGTGTCGTTAGGTGTAAACAAGGCTGGGGAGGAGAGCCTGCTTCTCCTAAGTGTGCCTGGCATGTGGCTTCAGCCCTGGCTTGTG